TGGTATCAGATATTACTGTAGGTGAAAGTTTAGGATCCAGTGATCATCAGTCAGTGTGGTTTAATATAAGAACAGTGACTGAGTCACACCACACAAAAACAAAAGTTTTAGACTTTAGAAAAACAGACTTTTCTAAAATTAGAATATGGGTAGAGGAGTCATTATCAGACTGGAGCAATTTAAATGGAGTCCAAGAGAAATGGGATTATTTAAAAGTTGCACTATTGAAGGCAACAGAAAATTGCATTAGGCTTGTCAGTAAAAGCAAAAAATTCAAGAAACCACTGTGGTACTCCGCAGATGTGGCCAAAATAGTTAAAAACAAAAAGTTAGCATTTAGGAATTATAAAAAAACCCAGAGTGAGGAAGACAAAATGATCTATAAGATTAGGCAGAAAGAGGCTAAGCAAGTTATAAGAGCTTCCAAATCACACACAGAAGAGAAAATAGCACAGTCAGTAAAAAAGGGGGATAAAACATTTTTTAGATACATAAAGGAGAAAAGAAAAGTAAAACAAGGATTAGTTAGATTAAAAACAAAAGAAGGAAGGTATGTAGAAGAGGATAAAGGTCAGGCTGACTGCCTCAATAAATATTTTTGTTCTGTATTTACAGAAGAAAATGAAGGAAAGGGACCTCAGTTGAGAAAAAGGATAAATGAGTCATTTATTACACGTGAGTTTACAGAGGAAGAGGTTCTATTTCAACTGTCAAAAGTAAAGACAAATAAGTCAATGGGACCTGATGGAATACACCCAAAGCTATTAAAAGAGCTTAGTGGTGTACTAGCAAAACCATTAACAGATTTATTTAACCAATCATTGTTAACAGGAGTAGTCCCAGAAGATTGGAAGTTAGCGAATGTTGTACCCATTTACAAGAAAGGTAATAGGGAGGAGTCAGGCAACTATAGGCCAGTAAGCCTTACTTCAGTAGTGGGGAAAGTGATGGAAACCATGTTAAAGGATAGGATTGATGAACATCTAAAAACACATGGATTTCAAGATCAGAGACAACATGGGTTTACTTCAGGGAGATCATGCCAAACTAATCTTATTGATTTTTTTGATTAGGTAACTAAAATTATAGATCAGGGTGGTGCAGTAGACATTGCTTACCTAGATTTCAGTAAGGCTTTTGACACTGTTGCACATACAAGGCTTATCAATAAACTGCAATCTTTAAGTTTGGATTCCAATATTGTTGAATGGGTAAGGCAGTGGCTGAATGACAGGCAACAGAGGGTTGTAGTTAATGGAATATATTCGAAGCTTGGACTTGTCACCAGTGGGGTACCTCAAGGATCTGTACTTGGACCCATTCTCTTTAATATTTTTATTAGTGATATTGCAGAAGGTCTTGATGGTAAGGTATGTCTTTTTGCTGATGATACTAAGATATGTAACAGGGTTGATGTTCCAGGAGGGATAAGCCAAATGACAAATGATTTAGGTAAACTAGAAAATGGTCAGAATTGTGGCAACTGACATTTAATGTGGATAAGTGCAAGATAATGCATCTTGGACGTAAAAACCCAAGGGCAGAGTACAGAATATTTGATAGAGTCCTAACCTCAACATATGAGGAAAGGGATTTAGGGGTGATTATTTCTGATGACTTAAAGGTAGGCAGACAATGTAATAGAGCAGCAGGAAATGCTAGCAGAATGCTTGGTTGTATAGGGAGAGGTATTAGCAGTAGAAAGAGGGAAGTGCTAATGCCATTGTACAGAACACTGGTGAGACCTCACTTGGAGTATTGTACACAGTACTGGAGACCGTATCTTCAGAAGGATATTGATACCTTAGAGAGGGTTCAGAGAAGGGCTACTAAACTGGTTCATGGATTGTGGGATAAAACTTACCAGGAAAGGTTAAAGGATCTCAACATGTATAGCTTGGAGGAAAGACGAGACAGGGGGCATATGATAGAAACATTTAAATATATAAAGGGGATCAACACAGTAAAGGAAGAGATTATATTTAAAAGAAGAAAAACTACCACAACAAGAGGACATAGTCTTAAATTAGAGGGACAAAGGTTTAAAAATAATATCAGGAAGTATTACTTTACTGAGAGAGTAGTGGATGCATGGAATAGCCTTCCAGCTGAAGTGGTAGAGGTTAACACAGTAAAGGAGTTTAAGCATGCGTGGGATAGGCATAAGGCTATCCGAACTATAAGATAAGACTAGGGACTAATGAAAGTATTTAGAAAATTGGGCAGACTAGATGGGCCGAATGGTTCTTATCTGCCGTCACATTCTATGTTTCTATGTTTCTAACTAGAAAGATCTACCTGCTCAAGTTCAGTAATGTTTTTATAAGATACAAAATCAGGATATTGTAATTTATAAAATAGTAATTGTAACGGCACCCCAGGCATAAAGGGGTTAAACCGCCGTTTAGAAGATCTTCCCCTTCCAGGAGATACAGGCACTGCTACTGCAGAACACCAAACTCCCGAACTGAATACAAAATAGCACTCCAAACTCCCGTACTGGAACCTCACGAATAGCTGCTAGCAGACGAATAGGAAAAGCATCCAAGCGGCTTACACTCCAAGCAATCAGTTTCTATCAGCATACAGTAAATCCCCCCAAGAACGAGACAAGACTCCATTTTGAGGGTCAAGCAGTGGTCTCGTTTAATGCCCGGTATTTATGCAGGTCTTCCACCTGGTGGACACTCCCCTAGGGGACCAGATGGAAGACTGGGACACAAATGGTAAAATGACCAATCACAGGCATACAGGGTTAAAACACTCCCACAGTACATTACAATCCCTCCCCTCTATCAGTAATCCAATTATCTCCAAGGACAGAGGCAAAACTCCATTAACCACATGGTTACAGTAAAACACTAAAATACAATAACATACATAATGTTACATTTGTCACATAAAATATATACATGCAACCCATCCCCAGATAGCTGGGATCTGAGCGCACAAAAGTACCGAATAGCGCTCAGATCCTATGTACACAGTCCAATCGCCGTGGAGTTAAAGTGTTCACAAAGTCTGTTCTCCATACGAATAGACTCCACGGGATGGCTATCTGGGGTAATGCTGTTCATACGGTTTAAACTACTGAATGAACAGGCATCCGGTTAAATGACCGAATGCAGAAGCAAGGAGGCTGATGGCTCAGCAGTGTTCACGCAAATAAGTGTCCGTTTCCAGTTCCATAGTTTGGGCGCTGAAACCCGCGGTCCGTTCGGGACTTTAAAATTGACGGCCGCCACGTGTTCGGCAAACGAACAATGGCCACCCAGTATTCGTCAATTAAGCTGCGGTTAACTGCAACTTCTGGGAGGTCAATTGACGGCACACTCCAGCTCCCAGGTGGTCCAGTCATTTGTGCGTTTGTTCGGTACATAGAATTTACCGAACACTCTGGCAGATGGGCACGAACAAGCCTTTCTGCAGGGGAAAATACAAGTTTTACTATGGGGCCATAGTTTAGAGGCAACAGGCGGGCAACCAGGCTCCTCCAATGCAATGTGGCGAGATTGGTCTCGTCACAGTAATTGTGTGTTACTAATAGGAATTCCTAATACCGACATTGAAAATAGTGTTTTTTCAATACAAGAAATTTGTATTAAAGAAGAACTTATACATATATCATTGTTACATCCCAACTATTTGTTAACCCATAAATCTGTATGATTTTTAGAGAATGCAAACTCATCAAGTAAACTACGCTTGAGTTCTATAGGAGTAACACCACCTTGAAATGCTTGTGCCATCACCTTAAAATCTGTAGAATATTCAACTTGTATCTATAAACAAGTTTTGGCTACCTGGGATGAATCTGCATTTCTCATTAATGCCAAAGTAGCTTCCTGTAAATGTTGAACAGAGGGTGCAATAACAAAGGCTGTGTTCATAACCATATTTTTCAATATTTGATTTAAACCTCTTTGAATATGCAATCCTTTTACCCCTATTAACCCTACAGTTCCCAAATCATTCTTTAATGTTTGAATATCCATAGAATTAGGGATACTTCCTATAGTACCAAATCCAGCCATTATTCCTTCTACTATATCTCTTTTTTTCCTGTTTAATACTTTACTTCCTCCAAACCAATGTTCTAAGCCTCGTTCCATATTTAATAAATGTTCCTTACATTGTGGAAATTTAGTTGAAATTTTCCACTGAGAAACATTAAAATGCCAAACTATTGTTGCAAATTTCCCATCTAATAACAAAGGTTTTGATTGAAAATGATTCAATTGAAAGGAACTTGATAACTTAAAAACCTTATTTTTGCATTCTACCATTCTGGTAGAGAATACATTTACCTTAACATCACCACATCTCTCGTCATGATTTCTTAACATTATACAACATTGATAGTTTCCACTATCACTGTAGGTAGGATTGTCTAAATAGAAAACAAACATTTCTTCCGACCAATCCACATTTCCTAGTATAGCTCTGTGAATAACCTTTGGCGTTGTATGTGACATTCTACCCAAAAACATTCCTTCCCTTTTCCGTGTCATTACAGACTCAGGGGGTAAACTTATATGTGTACTACATGTTAATCTAAGTCTTTCCTTTCCTTCCTGGATATCTACAAGACTAGGCTTCATTATAATATCTCACATAATATAATCAGTTACCAGAAACATCATGTTAACTCTTACTGTCAACGATTCCCTAGATGATCGTATTTCCCATATCCAAGGTATACCTGGAGTATTGTTTTTTTAAGTGGAATTCTGGCTCTAAATGTATAAGCCAATATTTAATTGTATAAAGTACCTTACCACCTCGTCCTCGAGTTGTTACTGAAGTTTGTGCAACGTTCACATACATGTCACCTAAACAATTTACCATTTCCTTTCCATTAACTACAATCATGATATATGCATTTTGTAATATATTAAGTTCCCATGATCCCGTTTTTACATTGTCTTGTGCAAATGAACCTTTGGTCCAACTAAATAAATCATTAGGACCTATTGTAATGTTTAAATTAATAACACTATCTCCTGTGAAATTAATTCGCACATTGCATACTTGTAGATAGCCATCTTTTGTCCCGAAACAAACATGACCTTTTAATACTTGTTCATTGTCTCTCTTTTTTCTAATATTTCCCAATAAGTCATTCTTTAACTCCTGATTGAAAGTCATTTTGTTCATCTTAAATATAACTATTACAAGAACTGTAGTCATCAATGTTAGCAGGATGCTGACGAACAACTTCTTTCTGCTACACGGTTGTCTTTGCGAACACATCGTCTGTCACCGGCCAACTTTCGTCTGTAGGTCTGCTTACAAATTATCTAAAATAAACTAAGAAAAACAAAGCAGTTTCAATATATTATCAGATTATGTTGTAGGTTTATACAATTTGCACTGATCTGCATGAACCCAAAAACTATTTTGCCTCCGTTTATTCCGTGAACCATCAAGAGGTCTTTGCACTTGTACCATTGTTTGTCCCGTTGTATCTGTTATGTTATAAGGACCTTCCCAGTTTGCCTCCCAAGGTCCAGTTTTCCTAAAAGTTTTTATCATGACCATACCCACCTTTAAAAACTTTGAAATATCAGTAGGTGCCATTTTGCACATACGAGTAGCTGCATGTGGAAGAATTGACTCCAAATTTTCCTGAAGCATTTGCAACCATTTATTTTTAGCAATTGCATCTTTCTGTGGGGTAGACAAATATGGTTCATTAGGAAAATTCAACTGCATTTTCCTACCTGTCATCAATTTAAATGAACCGTATTGTGTAGCTGAAGACATAGTGCCTCTAATACCCATAAGTACAGCAGGAAGTGCCTGTACCCATGTGTTGCCTTTCTCACGTAACATTTTTGAAAGTCTAGATTTCAATGTTCGATTCATACGTTCCACAATCCCAGCAGATTGTGGATGATATGGAACATGAAATCTCTGCTCTATGCCTAGAATAGCACACAGTGCTTGCATGATTTCCCCTGTGAAATGAGTACCATCTTGAGAAAATGTGTGTCCATAATGCTTCAGCCATTTTTTGTGAATCATCTTTAGTCAATGGAATTACTTCTAACCATTTAGAGAATACATCCAAAACTATTAACACATATTTTAATCCATTCTTACCTGTTGGTAATGGCCCAATGAAATCAATTTGTAAAGTAGACCAAGGACCATTTGCAGGTGCTATACGTTGTTTAGGTGTTTTTTGTCCTTTAGGTCTGGGATTTATTTGTGCACATATCAAACATGATTGTACTACCTGTTGTACAGTCTTTTCCATGTTATCCCAATAAAACATATCTCTGAGTACCTCTAACAGTTTCTGCTGTCCAATATGACCTAAACTTTCATGATTATATTGTGTAAATAACACTTTTAGATGTTCTGGCATGACCGGACACAGTTCTCCGTTTTGGTCATGACACAAAACCCCGTTCTCATGAACAAATGGAGGTTTTGGATCAACCTGAGAAGCCGAATGGAACGAATCCTTTGCCTGTTCTTCTGCAAAAGATGGAGGCTGTGTGTTAGTCTTTCTAACCACTGCTACTGACATAGGCTCTGTCTGCAATGCATTCTCACCAGTTAAAGCTGCTCTTTTTGCATATTTATCAGCTATTTCATTTTCTTCACTAAGTAAATCTTTACCTTTTTGGTGGGCAGGAACTTTGACTATAGCATGTAAACATGGTTCTTGAGACGCATTTCCAAATATGGTCTCTAGTGTCTCTTTGTGTGCTAACACTTTATTTGAGGCATCTACGAACCCTCTTCTTTTCCATATAGCTAAATGTTCTGTTAGTGATCTAACCACATATGAACTATCACTATATATCACTAGGGGACGCCCTTCTTTTTCCTCAAGTGTTAGTACTGTTTTTAATGCTTCTAGTTCTGCTCTCTGTGCTGACAAATGACCTGGCAATTTATGTTCTACTGAATATCCTCGTTGTGGATACCATATAGCATAACCTGTATAGTACTTCCCATCTGAACAGAATCTGGACCCGTCAACAAACACAGGTTCATCAGATTCACTTGCTTCCTTTCTGAAAAGAGAAAGAAAATTCTCTTCAACTTCTGGTAAACATTCATGGGGTTTACCCTCTTTTTGCATTAGTTGTGGAAGTACATATTTTGCCTTATGTTCTACCTTAATTTGCTTTGGCAATAGAGCTATTAACCATTGTGAAAATCTCTGATGTGACACACCTGGAATTCCTTTTTCAAAAAGTAATTTCAAAGGTATGTGTGGTGTTTGCAAGAACTATGTCCTTTTATCCCACTATGTGTTCAGTTGCCATTACCGCATTACCTCTTTCCACTGGGGAAAGAATTTTAGAAAAATATCCCACTATCCTCCATATCTCTTGCTGCAATTGTAATAGTACCGCGGAGACAGTCTCTGAAGTATGTACTCGAATTGCAAAAGATGCAGTTGGATGTATTGTCGCTAAAGCAGGTGCAACCTGTAAGTCTCTTTTAAGTACCTCAAATGCATTCTTATGTTCATCTGTCCATGGTCCAAATAAAGATTCACTATTTTTCAAGAGATCATATAAAGGTTTGGCTTTTTCAGCGAACCCTTCAATGAATTCTCTGGAAAAATTAATTAATCCTAGGAACTGGCGTAAGGCCTTGTGTGAAGTCGGTACAGGAAGAGAACAAATAGTTTTGATTCTTTCCTGCACTGGCTTCTTGTGTCCTGGACCAATGTGTACACCCAAGTATTGTACTTCTGGTTGCATCAGTGTTACTTTGCATGTGTTCAGTTTTAAACCAGAATCCTGCAAGAGGAAAAATAATTCATTTAACAGAATCAGGTGTTCTTCCTCAGTTTCAGTCTGCAAAAGCATATCATCAACATATTGTAACAAGCATTCTGGCCTAGAAAACGTAGACAAAACTTTTGCCAATGCCTGATGAAAATATGTTGGAGAACTGTGAAAACCCGGGGGTAACACAGTAAACACATTGCTGATTTTGAAATGTAAAAGCAAACTCATATTGACAACTATGCTTCAGTGGTACAGAGAAAAACCCATTACTTACATCTAGTACTGAGTATACTTTAGCCGTTGACGTCATATCTGGGGTTTCTGCCACCACATGTGCAGAAGGTGGTGTGTATTTATTTAATGTTCTTAAATCAATTGTTAATCTCCAGGAATTTGAATATTTTTTCAATATTGGCCACAGATTATGATTACATGGACTATTTGCTTTCCTAATTACCCCTCTCTGTTCCAAATCATTAATGACACTTGCAATAGAATCAATTGAATCTGGGAGTAATCTTTACTGTGGGAGTGGATCAGGACATTTTTAAATCTTCCACATTCATTTTTACTTTGTGCCCATAAATCTGGATAACTCTGTACAATCTCTTTAAGTTCAAGGTTATCCCTAGTATTAGGCCATTGCCTTTCTGTAGACACTACATCTACTGGACAAATAATTCCTAACTCCCCATATTCAGTAGGATCCAATAGCACTGGTTTCCTACCCTTCGCATCTTTCCAAATAGCTTTGTTTCCCAAATCAACAATCCAACCTATTCTTTGCATAACATCTGTGCCTATGATATTATCAACATTTTTGCTGTACCAAAGATCAATTTTTGTTTTTAAACACTGAGATATTTCTAAAGTAACATTATTTACTAATGTTGCCATAGATCCTCCACTTCTGTCAACTCCTACAATTGTACATATACAGGGAGTGCAGAATTATTAGGCAAATGAGTATTTTGACCACATCATCCTCTTTATGCATGTTGTCTTACTCCAAGCTGTATAGGCTCGAAAGCCTACTACCAATTAAGCATATTAGGTGATGTGCATCTCTGTAATGAGAAGGGGTGTGGTCTAATGACATCAACACCCTATATCAGGTGTGCATAATTATTAGGCAACTTCCTTTCCTTTGGCAAAATGGGTCAAAAGAAGGACTTGACAGGCTCAGAAAAGTCAAAAATAGTGAGATATCTTGCAGAGGGATGCAGCACTCTTAAAATTGCAAAGCTTCTGAAGCGTGATCATCGAACAATCAAGCGTTTCATTCAAAATAGTCAACAGGGTCGCAAGAAGCGTGTGGAAAAACCAAGGCGCAAAATAACTGCCCATGAACTGAGAAAAGTCAAGCGTGCAGCTGCCACGATGCCACTTGCCACCAGTTTGGCCATATTTCAGAGCTGCAACATCACTGGAGTGCCCAAAAGCACAAGGTGTGCAATACTCAGAGACATGGCCAAGGTAAGAAAGGCTGAAAGACGACCACCACTGAACAAGACACACAAGCTGAAACGTCAAGACTGGGCCAAGAAATATCTCAAGACTGATTTTTCTAAGGTTTTATGGACTGATGAAATGAGAGTGAGTCTTGATGGGCCAGATGGATGGGCCCGTGGCTGGATTGGTAAAGGGCAGAGAGCTCCAGTCCGACTCAGACGCCAGCAAGGTGGAGGTGGAGTACTGGTTTGGGCTGGTATCATCAAAGATGAGCTTGTGGGGCCTTTTCGGGTTGAGGATGGAGTCAAGCTCAACTCCCAGTCCTACTGCCAGTTCCTGGAAGACACCTTCTTCAAGCAGTGGTACAGGAAGAAGTCTGCATCCTTCAAGAAAAACATGATTTTCATGCAGGACAATGCTCCATCACACGCGTCCAAGTACTCCACAGCGTGGCTGGCAAGAAAGGGTATAAAAGAAGAAAATCTAATGACATGGCCTCCTTGTTCACCTGATCTGAACCCCATTGAGAACTTGTGGTCCATCATCAAATGTGAGATTTACAAGGAGGGAAAACAGTACACCTCTCTGAACAGTGTCTGGGAGGCTGTGGTTGCTGCTGCACGCAATGTTGATGGTGAACAGATCAAAACACTGACAGAATCCATGGATGGCAGGCTTTTGAGTGTCCTTGCAAAGAAAGGTGGCTATATTGGTCACTGATTTGTTTTTGTTTTGTTTTTGAATGTCAGAAATGTATATTTGTGAATGTTGAGATGTTATATTGGTTTCACTGGTAATAATAAATAATTGAAATGGGTATATATTTGTTTTTTGTTAAGTTGCCTAATAATTATGCACAGTAATAGTCACCTGCACACACAGATATCCCCCTAACATAGCTAAAACTAAAAACAAACTAAAAACTACTTCCAAAAATATTCAGCTTTGATATTAATGAGTTTTTTTGGGTTCATTGAGAACATGGTTGTTGTTCAATAATAAAATTAATCCTCAAAAATACAACTTGCCTAATAATTCTGCACTCCCTGTAGGTGCACTTGGTGATAAAGGTAGTTGTAAACTAGTTATACTTAACTGAGCACCTGTATCGGTGAGAAATTCTGGGTCATAACCTTTTAAAGAACATTTAATGTATGGTCTACCACATCCATCTAAATTTAATTGAGCCAAAAATTCAAGTGGACGTGGCCTGATTCCTTTAGATTGTCATTGTGAATTAAAAATTTGGTCAGCCTGATTAGACATGTTAGAAATCACACCCTGTCTGTCTCCTGTGTTTGAGCAAGCTACAATTTCTCTCACTTGCCTTATCAGAGGAGTATATGGCAAATCTCTGGTGTTTTCTATATTAGGATTATTTTGAATGAATCCATTTGATTTGCCATGATCCCTTGATTGTAAATCATAAAAATAATTCCTGCAGTTTCTCTTTATATGACCTGGCTTGTTGCAATAGAAACAGACTGTAGCGGAGTAGAAGTATTTTTCACGGTATCTCCGCTGGTAGACAGGATGAAGCAGGTATAAAACAGGCAAATTGCAGGTAGCGTAGTTACAATCCCTTCCTCCCAAGAACGAGACGACACATAGCTTGGAGGTCAACTGATGTTTTTAATTACTAGCACAGTATTTATGTGGTTACAGATGTACAGGGTTTCCCAAGTCCTAATGCAGGATTTTTTCAGTAGGGGACTACATGGGGGACTGGGTTTTACACATACAATACCCATCATACATTGCTGTACCAAGGAGATACTTATCCCAGAATGCATTGCTAATGGGAGTATGAGTAGAGAGGAACACAGTTTTCATATTAAAATCTATAACTAACATAATATTTATGCCATACAGCTGTTTAACCATTTATTACATAGCTGGGACCTGGGCGCACAGTTAAGTGAACTTGCGCTCAGATCCCAGCACGAATAACCGAACGCCGTTCAGTTTCCCCTATCAGGACTACTTTGTTAAACCGATTACCTGATTGGAGGGAATGAAAGTCCTGAAAACGGTAATCTCCCAAACGGCTCGGAAGTCCAGCGGGGCTTGTGTTGTCGAGTAGCCAATTTTAGTTCCAGGCACTCAACGACAAAACCCAGCTGGCTTTCCGCAAACAAAGATGGCCGCCGCCTCGTGTTCGGTACACGAATGGCAGCCACCCGCAACAAACCGCAATTAACTTGGATACAATGTTGCAAAATACTTAATTGGAGACACACGACCGGCTATGTGTGGTCTCCCATTCGGTTCTTAGCTTATCCCACGAACAGTGCGGTGATTCACTGTTCATGGTTACTCAGGCTTAACATTAGCGGTATTCGTGTGCTATAACACACGAATACCGCATACATTGCAAAATACAAAGCATAGTAGGAAAATAATACAATTTGTTTTAAAACTACAGCTTGATTTGCCACACAGACCAGACTATGTGTCAAGTTTTTTTCATAGTGTGAGTGGGGCATATTGAAACTTGGAGCTTCTCTCCTCTTTGTCTGAGTTCTAACAGCTGCAGGACTCCAGGAAGGAGGGGGCTTCCTGTAGCTGAATATTTCCTCCCCCCTATCTCTTCCAACTGCACAGACAGATTTTTTAACCGTTTGTTGTCTGGATTATCTTCTAACCCTATTTAGAAATATTTTGACACTGGAGAGCGCATGCAATTGATATTGGATCAAGATATTTAGATTTTTTTACAAATGCATTAACCATAGATTTTGGTGTCTGATCATCAGGAATACTCAATACCAATCTGTATGCATGCTCAAATTTTAAAAGGAAACTGAAGACATCTTCATTTATATTCTGTTTTAATTTTTCTAAAATCTCAATATCCACATGCTCATTTCCGGTTGTTAATCTTATTAATTGTGTCAATCTATCTCGCTCATTCCCATGGACTATTTCACCATCTTCGTCATTAGGGGTAGTTATGGGTGGGGTCAGTCTACGTGCAATGTATGTTGGCAGCCATATTTTAAACAATCTGTTCCTTTGTTTGTCATTCAAATTATGTTTAGATAAATTATACTCAAATACGTCTGCATTACCAAAGGCATCCATCGATGGATTATATGGGGGAATATCTTTGGTAACTTTCATCAACTGCTCTTGAATTTTTAATTTAAGTTTTGCAGCCTTATCTAATAATTTTCTACTTTGCAAATCATACTGGGATGATATTTCTGTGACATCAACTGGCTCTGGTATCAAATTATGATCACTTCTTGTAATTACACACAACTGTTTACCTTAATTTCTGAGCTTACAGATCAATTCAGATTTAAGATCTATCTTTTCTTCTAAATCACAAACATTTGCCTGGAGTCTATCACAGTTACTACATTCCATTCCTGTTACACATACAGATTTCTCTTTAATGTCTGTCTGTGTACTTTTTTAAATTTTGCACCTTTACTTGTGCTGGTACTTGCAATTTTGTTGGAGTCACCCCTGTTCTAAGGATCATTGTGTCAAAGGTTTCTACCAATTTTAAAACATTTCTAATTTTCTTTTTTGTTTTATTTAAACATAACAGTTTATTATCAATAGCTGAATCTGCTTGTTTACATTGCTCATACAAACTTGCCCACAATTGACTATCTGTATAGCATATATTAAACACAAAATCAAGTTTACATTTCTCTGCAATATCAGTAACAAAATCCATTATTACTCACCAGACAAGTTGATCTTTAATGCACAACACCGTCTGCTTTTAGTCAGCCTTTTACTCGTACAGCTGCGCAGTTCTGGGCTTGATTCTGGACGCTTGCCAATCTCTGCCACGTGCTTGCTTCCAGACTTCATGTTGTATCTTGTGCTGCTTTCTTTATAAAAAGTGCTTTTGTTTGTTGAAGAATATAATCTTGGAACAGTCTTTGTGATTTGAAAATCTTTGTTTTCTGATAAAAACACACGGCTTTTAACGTGGTTCTTTTTCTTTTAACACAAGAAAACAGTCTGGCTGACTCATCAATGTAATATCTGGCTGTGTTTTTCTTTATTTGAATAAGTCTTTTATGTATGTATGGAGATTTGCTTTTTATTGGCCATACCATATGTAACTCCCTAAAACATTTTTTCAAATGAAAACAATTTGCTATGATAATAATGATATTATGGTTGATTGTACTAAGTGTAAAGTTCAAAACTCTTACAGGTACAAAAATATACAAACATTTTTATTCCACGCACGGGCCTACGTTAGACATGATGTGATTGCACAATATGTCTGGTAACTTCCGTAGTGCTTATTCATAAGCTAAATTAATTTTTGCTATGAAATGCACTAAAGGGGGGTTATGTCAGGGTATTTATATCGGCAGACATGTTGTGCTATGATAGAAATTAAAATGTATATTGTCAGTCACTCTGAACAGAGCAGACTCCATTTTGTTATTTTCAAGCTAACAAAAGACACAAGATTTCTAACCCTTCTGTAAAACTAACCATTTTGCCAGAGCTAAAGGAATGCTTAGTATATACAAACCAAATTGATAAGAAATGAGAATGGGGGATGGACAGACTGTCTAAATGCTAATTGAATAGATCAATTCTAAACCCAGACATTTGTGACAGAGGAGATTAAATAATTTAATTTTACTTTTGATATTGTATAAGGTCCCATTGTAAGTAAACTGTCATATTAGAAATTATAGCAGAATTTGCCAGACACATAGTCTGGACAAAACTTAAAGAAACTCTTTGAAGTGACAGAAAACTTAAGTTATAGTTAACCATAAAGATAAGCCAAAAATGACGTCAAAATAGCCACCAGGAAAAGTTAACTCTTTCCTGGATAGGAATGTTTAGTGGGACGAGACTGCCCTCTTGTCAGGGTCTTACCTGGGTTGGGAGTCTGTAGCGCAGATATGTTGCTCACCCTTGCAGATAGCCACAGGCCAAGGTGGTCAGGCAAGAATTCACCCGGCCTGTGGGTCTGTGCACGGGGGCTGTGCAGGATGAAGTACCAAGTCGCAGGACAGGCAAGGACTCAAACAGCAGGATCGTCAAAGGATAGCCAAGGTCAAAGGATGCCAGAAGACAGGAACAACGAGGAGTAGCCGAAGTCAAGGGATGCCAGAGGTCAGAGTAAACGTAGTCAGAAGCCGGGGTCAATAACAAGTAGCAGTTCAAACAACAGGAACACTGGTACAAAGCACACAACAGGATCAAAGACTTGATCCTGATCACAGGGCGAGGCTGAGTTTAAATACCCTGCTAATGTCTGATCAGGGTCAGGTGCAGCACAGCCAAATTCAAGGTACAGTCCCCAGAGTGATAGACAAGCCAGGATGAACAGGACCGGAATGACTTGCAGAATACAAAAGCTGCTGTGGCTCAGAGGTAGGAAGCAGGACCAGGACTGCGAAGTTCCCCGGTTCAAGTCCCTTGTTGGGATCTCCACGGGTGACCACGTCTAGCTGTCTGTTTGATGTGGCGAGAACCGTGACACCTCTAAAGCCGAATACTTAAATTGCTATCTGGAAGGTAACCACACCTCCAGTTTTCTATTGGTCTATCACCTAGTGAATTTTCCCTTTAAAAAGTTAAGACAAACGGAAGAGAGAGGTATGCAAGGGAATGCAAAGGAAGCAAGAAGAGACAAAGAGGTGAGCAGTCAGGGGCAATGCAGAGAGGCCTATGACAGATATCCACTCTAGGACACTCAGAAATTCTTACACACCTCCATGCAGAGAGACATCCAAACAAGTTCCTGAGACTACCTACCAATCTGATGAAAATATCTACTCAACTGGTAATTATACTGGTTTCATTGAATTAATCTAAATTAATTAAAATTTTCTAATAGCATGATATATGACTGGATAAATCACGATCAGATTTCGATATTTAGAAATCTTAGTTACTAAAGAGTATATAATTAAGCTTTCTATTCTGCAGATAGAATTGAGTAATTATATATGTATTAATGTGAATATCACATGTTAGCATATCGTGGTATTTATCCAGGTGTATTGATTTGCTCTAAAATAAGATAAAATATCTGTTTAGGCAAGTTAAAATTTTGCTTATAGAACATGGTAAATTCTCTTATTGGATGGTTCCAGGAAATGACTAATGAGCTGGTTTAAATGTAATTTTAAATCAAATAACATGAGAATAGATCTTAATTACCTTAGAGGTCTAGCCAGCATTGAAAGGGTTATTCTAACTGTTAGCTAAGTTTATGGCCTTACGCTGCAGCTCTGTGTAAGTTTTTTGTTCTCTGTGAAGACAGTCATAAATCTTCTTGACAATTGCTATGTTAACCAGTGGAAGTGTATTGCCATTGTATTGCATACTCATGTTATACTGAATATTCATTGATTATTATCACGCATGTTACATATTATTATTTAAATTGTCACAATAAATTGTATCTATTTTTATAACAAATTGTGATTTTATTATATGGAATACATTTCACTTGCACGATAACGATCTTTGGGATCTGAGAATTGAAATAGTGGGCAATTCTCAACTGTTTACTATTATTATCCCATAAATATCCCCACACGTTACAGAGAGTCATCTTTGTATCAGCAACTCAGGACATCAGAGAGGAGAGCAAAACGGATGGCAGCAGGAAGAGAGCGTGGTTCTTTGTCCTTGGCTCTATATAGCCCAAATTACGTCATAACGTTTAGTTTAGACTCTGCTATATAAGGAAATTCCCCATATAAAGACCACCTCAAATCTCTTATACAGCAAATTCCAGAGACCTCATGGTATAGAATAGCAAATGCCATCTGTTTTTTTTTTTTTAACCCATTAGACAGCCACACCTTAATATGTATTTGAATAGGAACATATAGAATATGAAATATTCTACAGAACTCAAGTCCAAAGTCTAATCAGGGAAAAAGGAGCCACCTTTTCCAATCTACCCAGGTACACCCCATTGGCCACTCACAAGGAGGAAACCCTAGAACAGAATCCGTAAAGGAAAGTATGCGTAAGGAGATTAATGAGATGTTACAGTTAGGGGTGATAGAACATTCTGACATCCCCTGGGCCTCCCCAGTAGTGCTAGTGCCGAAACGGGACGGGACGACCCGGATAGACGAGCTCCTAGACAAAATGGCCAGGGGCCAGTACCTCACCACGATAGATCTGGCAAATTCCGCTAGCCGAGGACGCCATCCCCAAGTCGGCGTTTGTTACCCCGTTTGGCCTGTACCAGTTTAAGGTCATGCCATTCGGGATGAAAAACGCCCCGGCTACCTTTCAGAGGATGGTAGATCGGCTACTGGATGGGTTTCAGGAGTATGCTTGTGCCTATCTAGATGATATAGCCATTTTCAGCCACTCCTGGACCGAACACCTGACCCACATAGGAGCCGTACTAGACCCTCAAACCCAGTAAGTGCCACGTAGGGATGGCAGAGGTTCAGTACCTAGGGCACAGGGTAGGAAGCGGGCAACAGAAGCCCAAACCCGCTAAAATAGAGGCAGTCGCCAAGTGGCCAACCCCCCGCACCAAAACGCAAGTCATCACATTCCTAGGTACCACAGGGTACTATCGTAAATTCGTGTCCAACTACAGCACCCTAGCCAAACCCCTCACCGACTTAACCCGTAAAAACCTCCCCAAGATAGTGGTATGGGCCCCAGAGTGTGAAGAGGCATTCCAACAGCTCAAGACAGCGCGTATTAAATCACCTGTACTGTCTGCTCCTGATCCAACTAAACACTTTCTCGTCATACAGACGCTTCTATGTTTGGATTGGGAGCAGTACTGAGCCAAGTCGGAGCAGATGGCGGAGAGTACCCCGTGGCTTATCTAAGCAGAAAACTTTTACCCAGAGAAGTAAGCTATGCCGCCATTGAAAAGGAGTGCTTGGCTGTGGTGTGGGCCCTCAAAAAGCTGCAACTCTATTTGTATGGGCAACCATTTACTTTACTCACAGATCACAACCCATTTGGGAAGCAGAATGGCAATGCCGACGGGTTATCCAGACAAACAGACCTTGAAAAGTGATCTGTGAGTACCCATCCGGACATCTCCAAGCCGATCCGTTGGGATCAGACTGTGTATGCCGGCTTGGTTCTGGGGGAGCATTGTGGCAAAACTAACCACTTAAGAATTTATTTTTATTAATAGGTTGCTATCACTTTAAGACTGTTAGAGCCAAGTGAATACCTGTACCTGTATATTGTGCGAACGAGAGCATTTATATGCTGGTGGCATTCATACAGTAGTTTCACGAACAGTGAATTTCAACACTGTTCATGAAACGAACAAACTACCGAATGGGAAACCACACACAGGAGGTCGTGTGGCTCCTATTAAGTATTGCAACAATGTATCCTTTGGTAGTTGAGATTCAGGGTGGCCGCCGTTCGGCTACCGACCACGTGGCGGTTGGCCATCTTGGATCCTTTGTTAGCCCAGAGGTATTTGGTCGTCGAGTGCCTGGAACTAAAATCGGCTACTCGACAGCACGAATACCGCCGGACTTCCATACCGTTCGGGAGTACCAGCCCTTCGGTAGTTTATTCCTGTAACGGACCGTTTTGCACAAAAGGGAAAAAAACCGCTTAGACGATAATCCCCCTTTCAGAGTCAGGCACAGCTACTGTATAATCACCAAAACTCACGAACCGCCAATAAGTGAATGCTCCAAACTCCCGAACGGCATACAAGGGAATAAGGTAGCACTTCAAATAAACGAACAGGAACCATACGGAT